ATGCACACTTCTTGCATCAGGTTGTTGCTGTGTTAATTTCTTGACAATTTGCAGCAGAATTCAGAATTTTTCAAACAATGGATTCAGGAGCATGGTGAAGTCGTGTTCTCAGGAACAATTTAATTTTGTGTTTTAATTTGGAGAGGATGAGAGAAAAGCTTAATATAAGTATCTTCTAGGCTTCCCAGTTGATTTGAAGAGAGAAATGTCCTTGGGAAATAACGTCTTCAGGAAACTTGACTTGGGTGGGTAAACATATAATATACAGACAACATATTATAGAATTGTACACCTATAGAACTGGGGTTAACCAATGTCACCCCAGTAAATTCAATAAACATAAAAGTAAAAAGTCCTCCCAAAGATGGGCAGAATTCAAAAGAGCCTGTTCGTGACTGAGTAGGACTATAATCACGCTGTGAGGAACTATTAAGTTCCAGAAAAAAATAACATCATGAACACAATTATATTAATGTTTTTAATTTCATTGGTTTTGCAGCTTTGTTTGCAATTCAGTTATAAGACTGTTTCCATTTTATAGTTGTATAAGAGCTTTAAGCCCAAGGAATTTAAAAATATACAAAGCTTGGCTGGCATAAATAACGTTATAATAAAAATTCTTTTTAAAAAAATATATTTTATTGATTTTTTACAGAGAGGGAGGGAGAGGGATAGAGAGTTAGAAACATCGATGAGAGAGAAACATCGATCAGCTGCCTCCTGCATACCCCCTACTGGGTATGTGCCCGCAACCAAGGTACATGCACTTGACCGGAATCGAACCTGGGACCCTTGAGTCCGCAGGCTGACGCTCTATCCACTGAGCCAAACCGGTTAGGGCATAATAAAAATTTTTATAACAATCTTTTTCTTTAAAAAAAGTCAGGCAGACCTGCAAGATCTTGGAGTAGGCAGGCATCCTGCTGCTGGGCCTTGAGACACCTCGTTGGCTTTAGCATACAAGTCCAAGTAGGCATCTGGCCTGGCTCCTCACCTGTGCACCCCACCGAATAGGGTCAGACCTATTCATTTGTGCACCTGGAGACCGCCACTCCCAAGGCCTTTTCCCTTTGCAGCCTGTCCTGATGCAGCCAAGGTGGTGGGCTGCCAATGGTCATCTCCTCAGGGGCAACTGAAAGTTTTATATCTAAAAACATCTGGCTGCCCTGGCTGGGTAGCTCAGTTAGTTAGAGTGTCATCTCAACACACCGAGGTTTTGGGTTTGATCCCGGTCAGTAAACATACAGGCACCAACCAATGAATGCCTAAATAAGTGGAACAAATCAATGCTTCTCCTCTCTCTCAGATCAATAAAAGAATAACAACAACAAACAAAAACAAATAGCATTTGGTTGGCATCCCCACTGAAGACCCAAAAACGTTGCCTGTCTCTCAAACATATCTTGTTTAGATAGTGTTAGAAGGGAGAGAAAGACAGCTGCCAATCATGTTGATGGGACAGGCCCACTTTTACCAGATAAACTGTACTTGCATATTTCAAACGTTTTAGAAAATCATTCACCCATTGGGGGGAAAACAGAAGAAATCATGAAGGAAGGCAAGGAATTTCCAGGGATGCTCAATTTCTATCTTTATTGTATTCACATGAATATTCAAAGTATAAACACATTTAGTCTAAAACTTGTGGAGTCGAGTCATGCTGCTTAGTTAGATGTTGGTCTATTTGAAGTATTTCTGGTGAATACTGAGGGTTGTCTAGACATAGACAACTTCAACTTTGTGCCTGTGAAAGTTCCAGTACAGTGCTTATTTTAAAGGTATTATTGAGCACTCTTGCTTATATTCTCTCAACCTTACAGTATGGCACAACTATAAAGCATTCATGATCTCGGTACTGAACAGGAAAATTTCACCAGAGTGTCTACTTCTATATTGTTTATTTCAAAAGCTTAAATAAGATGTCCTCCTCTCATTGTTCTTCTGTCTAGTATAATAGCAATTCCCATGGTGTGCTAGGGAGGGTGAAGGAATTACTTAGACTTTCTGCAGGAATTAAGGGTGGTGCCATCACTAAGGGGTGAATAGTGATAATGTATTTTTTTCCCTTTTCTGTGTTTTTAGCTCTGATGGCTAAAAAATAATTCTCTCTAAAACCAAAAAGAAGAGAAACAGAGGCGGACACACAATACCTAATCAAACCTGAGAAACACTGGGCAGGAACCCTATTTGCCAGTTCAAGGTCCCAAGATTTCTGTATTTCCAGAACTAAAGCTGATATATTCTGTGGCTTTGAAATTGTGGACCAAAATATTCTTTTATCCTTCTCTTTACCTTGGCAGCTCTAGATCTATAAAGCTCAAAAGGCTTTCTTGAATCTGGAAACCATCCGTTTGAGCTAAGAAGTTGGGCCTTTGCTTTCAAAGTGGAAATCTTAAAAGAAAGGACTGCATGAAGAATCCTGCCAGATGAAGAGACCTCTTCAAATGCCTTAAATGTAGGTGGGTAGCTCTTTGGGCAGGAAACAGACTTGCTCAAGAGACTTTGGGAAAGGCAATGGGTAGACTTGAGTCCACTCAACTGACCCATTAGGGAATCAATCCTACATGAGACCCTGGAGATACTTGTCAAAGTATCTTCTAGTACCTTACATTGTGAAAAGAGTACAGGAAGTCACCCCAACAAAGTAGAGGCCCATCTGACAGTGCAGGGCTCTTTGATGATGTGATCCTCATTATAAATACTCTGAAGACTACCTCTGTTCAGTCTCATTTCACACCCTGGGGAGATAGTTTTGTGGGTTTTTTTTACATTTTTTTGGACTTTACATTCTCCCCAGGTTACAGAGATCACATTATCCAAGGCCCAAGGATGAAAAAAGTCTCTAGTGGCTGAGATAGGAAGTGTGTACCCATGTTGGTCCCCTCCAAGAGCGACAACACGGGACATTCCGGGGTGGATATCCCCAGACTTCAGTCTCCTTGGAGGCAAACCCTCAAAGAAACAGAAACCACTCTCACAAACTTTGAATCCTACACTTTGAACCTTTCAAACCCCATTGTTTTTGGTGAAATAGCCATTAATAACTTAATTATAAACAGCCTAATCTAAGATTTGGCTGTGGGAGAACATCCATTTTCTGAGGAAAGCCATTTCCCCTTAGAGACTAATCACTTTCTGTACTTGTCAACCTTTTGCCTGGTGTCCTATGTTCTCCTTCATCCCGCATCTGCCCCTCAGGAATATTTTAGTATAAAAGCTCCATAGACCCAAACTTAGTCCCATCATAACTATTTCTAGTTGAGTAGGAAATAGACTCTGGGCAACTTAGCCTTCACCATGTGGGCCTCTGGGAACAATCTGAGGGTGGATAAGGGAACGCAGTTGTCAAATAAAGGGGTTTTATGGAGTGACCCCAGGTGATCGGATCCTAAATTCCTAACTGGGCAGGTCATGATGAGTGCTCACATCCAGGCCCACTAACTGATCTAAGGTTTGAAGCGAGCTGTCCATTGTTCTTGTGCATCTAGGCTGGAACCTTTGAAATACCAGAATGCCCCTCCAAAGGGGGCATAAAGACTCAAGAGCACATCCTCTTACAAAAATAGAGAACTAGCACTTAGGGGCCAGGTACAAACAGGTGGCAGGGAGCATGAGGGAGTTCCTTGTGGGACCAACAGTTGTCTTGAGTGTGGTTACATAAATCTACACACGAGGTAAAATTGCATAGAACTTTATACACATGTGGGTGCATACTGGACTTAGTGAAGCCTGCATTCTTGTATAGGAAGCTCAATAGGACCCAAAGATATTCTCCCATTGAGCCTCTGGAGGGTTTTGCAGATACCGTGATTTCAGTCCAGCGATAAGCTTTTGTATTTCTGGCTCCCGTAACTTTTAAGGCATCAAGTTTGTGGTAACTTGTTACAGTGGCCATGTAAACCTACAATGTGAGTAAAGTAATACTGATGTCCTGGTTCTTATACTGTTCTCTGGTCTTACGTAAGATGTTGCGAGGGGAAGCAGGGTAAAGGGTATGTGGGACTGTTGTATTTTTGCAACTTCTTGTTAAATATTTCACAAGGGCAAAAAAGTAAAGAGAGGGGTAAAACCTTCAAGCCACGCAGAGCAAAGCAATGGAGAGAAGGGAAAGAGAATGTGGTGGGTAGTTTTCTGACCCACCCACCTCCAACCCGAATGAAAATGGCCTTCTCTGGTTCTCACTCCATCTGCAAAAGTGAAAATGGCAATCAGCCTTGTTCTGCCTCTGAAGGGCAGGAAGCAGGGTGTCCCATCTCCTGAGGACTCTTATGTCAGGCACAAATATCACCTCAGAACATTTACAGAAAGCTTGTAAGGAATTAACTAGTTAGAGTAAGAAGCCCGAGACTCTAGAGAAATTAGTAATTTCCCCGGAGCCACACAGAATTAAAAGCTCAAAGCCAGGTCTGCTGAGGCCAGGGCATTTAAAAGAACCATTTTGTGGCAGGTCCTTGAAGACCAGAGTTAGGACTGAGCTGAGAAAGGAGAGCCTAGTTTCAACTGCTGGAGGATACATTTATTTATTTAGGTAAACTGAATATACGGAATGAGCCCTTGTAATAAAAGCCATGAAACAGTTATATCACCTTCTCCTTAATTTCTTCGCGTAAAACAATTCATAGTATTTATCAATAATTAAAACTGAGAAAAAGCTAATATCTAGCATGAGGGAAGAGATTCAATCTCACCATAGAATGGATTTATGCAATAAAATGTAAAAATCCTTAAACCAGAATATTTAATAAGCAAATACATATTGAAAGGAAGATAGTTTAATTAAGACTTAAGATTCACATTATGATAAATGACAATTTTAATATAGCCTTTAAATTTATCAACATCTAGGTACTATTGGTAATCTTCCTTTCCCCTCATCCCCAAGTATACTGTTAGCTAACCATGTTGTTGGATAAAATTGTGGCATTTTATTTTTGTCTTCCTTCATTTTGGGTGTGGGAAAAAAATATATATATTGTATTCTTTACATTGACCCTGGGTTGCTAAAATATATTCTCCAGTGATTCTTTCAAAGAAGGTGTGCAAGAAATAAACTTTCTGAATTCTTCAATATAAAAAAATACCTTTGTTTTACCCTCAAAATCAAATGCCAATTTGGCTGGATATAAGATTCTAGGTTTAAAGCCTTTAGCCTCCAGACCTCTTATGATACTGCCCCATTGACTTCTAGCATCCAGAGTATCCAATGATAAGTCTGCAGTCATTCTGATTCTTATTCCTCTGTAGGTTACCTGTTTTTTCTCTCTGGAAGCAGCTATGATTTTTTCTCTATCACTGCAACTCCCAAATTTCACCAAGATGTGTCTAGGAGTGGTTCTCTTTTTATCAATTTTACTGGGTATTCGAAAGGCACTGACAATGTCCAGACTTGAACTTTTCTTTAGCTCTGCAAAGTTTTCTTCAATTATTTCCTTAACTATTTCCTCTGCTCCATTCTCTTTATTATCTTTTTCTGGAATTCCTATCAAACGGATATTTGAGCTTCTGGATCTATCCTCTACCTCTCTTATTCTTTCTTTAATTATTATCTGTTTGGCCATTTGCCTTGTATCCTTAGAGAACTCTTCAATTCGATCTTCTAGATAATTTACTTTCTCTTTAAGTATGTCTATTCTAACACTCAGTGTAGATAGCTTTTTATTTCCAGGATGGTAATTTTTAATGTCTCTAATCTCTTCTTGTATCTCTCTGAGTGAATTAATTACACTTCTCCTAAAGTTCTCTTCTGTTTCTTGTAGTAAGTCTGTTTCCTTAGATGTTAGCTTACATTTCACCAATTTTTTCTTCTCAGAATCTGAAGCCAAATCAGTACAGGAAAGTTCTTTTTCCTCGATCTGGGAGGTAGTCTCTTCTACCTCCGAGTCCTCTCCTTCTGGCCATGGTGAGTACCGTTCGTTTTCCCACTCGGAGCTTTCTCCCTCCTGTAGCTCATAACATTCTGTCTCTTCAGTTAAAATACTATCCAACTCCTCACTTTCAGCTCCACGTGCCAGGCTATGATAGTGAAAGTTCTGTTTGTTACATAATTCTGAGGCCGTTTCTTCCTCCAGTCCTGAAGACTCTTCCCCTTGCTCCAACTCTGAAACCTCTTCCTCCTCCCCTAGCTCCGAGGTCTCTCCTTCCTCCAACTCAGAAGCCTCTTGCTTCAGCCCTGAAGTCTCTTCTACCTCCTCCAAATCTAAAGCCTCTTTTTCTTCCTCTTCTAGCTCCCAGGCCTCTTCCTCCTCCAGGGCTTCTTTGTCCTTAGACTCTGAAGCCTCTTCCTCGTGAGTCTCTAAGCTTTTCACTTCATCTGTCTCAGCAACCTTTACCTCTTTAATAAACAGAAAGCTCAGGCCATCACTGGTTGCTGCCACAGCTTCATACTTTGAGGCTATTAGAGTTTTGTTCTGAAAGTTAAAAAAAAAATTTGTTAAATCATGTGTATCTTCTTTTAAGGCAGTAAAACCTTTCATTCTGTAAATTAAATGTGACTGCTATTTGACAATTAGCAAATACCTAGAATATTATTTAAATGATTTGTTCTTAAAGGCTTGGATCCCCAAACAAGTCATTTCTACCGTGATCATCCATCACACCTGCAATGACTTGTGTAGTACTTGCAACAGATTTCCGTGAGGTTGTGTATACTGTATTCCTTCTATAGTCCTAACCCTTAGTGCTTCAATAATGACTCGTGTTAGTGAATGGTTGGTTATATTTAGGGAGGATAAAGAGACTTTGTTATCTAACTTTAGAAAGATTAAAAACAATTACAACAACAACAACAAAAATCCACATTTACCTTTCTCCTCCCAAACAAGCAAATTTCAAGTTTTAAAAAGATCCCACTTGCAGTTCAAACTCTAGTCTATTAATTACAAGAAAAACATGTTTTGGTTAGGAGTACAGGGTCAATTCATTTTGGATTTGTTCAAATCCAGTCTCCACATTTGTTACCAGTATCTCAGTTTTCCCTCTAAAACAGGATCTGACCATAGCACTACTTTTGTCTGTTGTGAGGGGTAAGAAAGGCAACTTAGGTGCTGAGCTTCAGGCAAGTCTGCAATGTAATGTGGGCTCAACATTTCTTAGAACACTCTTCTTGGCCCTGAGTCTTTCACTCATTGCTGTCTACTGCAGCGGTTCTCAACCTGTGGGTCGCGACCCCTTTGGGGGTTGAACAACCCTTTCACAGGGGTCACCTAAGACCATCGGAAAACACATATATAATTACATAGTTTTTGTCATTAATCACTATGCTTTAATTATGTTCAACTTGTAACAATGAAAATACATCCTGCATATCAGATATTTACATTACGATTCATAACAGTAGCAAAATGACAGTTATGAAGTAGCAACGAAAATAATTTTATGGTTGGGGGTCACCACAACATGAGGAACTGTATTAAAGGGTCGCGGCATTAGGAAGGTTGAGAACCACTGGTCTACTGGGAAAGAATGTCCCATTTGTGGCTGGTTGATTCCTATTTGGTCAATATTCCCATCTCCAGAACAGGTTAGGTTCCTTCTGTTTATATTTCCGGGGCACAGCTAATATCTGAGATTAAATGTTTATTCTTAAGTAGTAAATTTGTGGATCTAAGTGTATCTTCAAATTCTAGACTTTCATTTTGCACAGAGGTTGTACTTGAAAATGTTGGGAAGGCAGGGGAAGTAGGTGTTCTTTTGAGAACCTGTCAAAAATATTGGCTTGCCTTAGCCAGTTTGGTTCAGTGGATAGAGTATCATCCTGCAGACTGAAGGATCCTGGGTTCAATTCCAGTCAAGGGCATATGCCCCGGTTGACTGGGTTGTGGACTTGATCCCCAGGAGGAGGCATGAAGGAGGCAGATGATCAAAGATTCCCTGTCATCATTGGTGTTTCTATCTCTCTCCCTCTCCCTTTCTCTCTGAAATTAATAAAAAATATATCTAAAAAATATATTGGCTTAATAATATAGACCTCAAACAAATAAAGATATTCTATGCTCATGAATTGCAAGAATTAATATTGTTAAAATGTAATACAACCCAGAGGAATCTACCAATTCAATGCAATTTCTATCAAAACTCCAATGGCATTTTTCATGGACATGCAATCCTAAACTTTGCATGAAACCACACACACAAATCTCATATATACAAAGCAAATCTTGAGAAAAAGAACAAAGCTGGAGACATCACACTTAATGATTTCAAACTATATGGTATTGACATAAAAACAGAGTAATGGCCCTAGCCGGTTTGGCTCAGTGGATAGAGCGTCGGCCTGCGGACTCAAGGGTCCCGGGTTTGATTCCGGTCAAGGGCATGTACCTTGGTTGCTGGCACATCCCCAGTAGGAGGGGGCGTGGAGGCAGCTGTTCGATGTTTCTCACTCATTGATGTTTCTAACTCTTTATCCCTCTCCCTTCCTCTCTGTAAAAAATCAATAATATATATTTTAAAAAAAAACAAAACAAAAAAAAACACAGAGTAATGGGGCAGAAATGAACTCATGCATATATAGTCAACTAATGTATGAAAAGCCAAGAATCTACAATGGGCAAAGCATAGTCTTTAACATATGGAAGGAAAGAGAGGGAGGAAGAGAAAAAAGAGAATCTCTACAGGTTACCTTTTAAGATTGTGGTTATAAAAATATTCAGGAAATAAGCTAAAGTGTTTTTAATGAATCAAGTACATGGGGAACATACTCTAATATGCTGTAAGAAAAGAAAACCTTTATACATTGGAATGGATAAAAGTTAGATATTAACATTAATGAACAGCCAGACGGATTTTAATAAAAAAGTTCTATATGCATTTCTCTGATTGCGAATAAAGAAAACTTAGACTACTTAACACATTAAAAATTGAACCTAGCCTAGCCGGCTTGCCTCAATGGTTGAGCACTGACCTATAAACCAGGAAGCCAAGGTTCAATTCCTAGTCAGGGCACATGTCCAGGTTGCAGGCTCAACCCCCCAGTAGGGGGCTTGCAGGAGGCAGCCAATCAATGATTCTCTCTCATCATTGATGTTTCTGTCTCTCTCCTCCCATCCTTTCTGAATTCAATAAAAATATATTTAGAAAAAGGAAAATGAAAAAAAAAATGGAACCTAATTACTTATACTTAATATTTCTGTTCTTATTACACCACCAATTTAATCATTACTTTTAACACCATGCTCTCACTTTTAACAATTTCTTAAAAATTGCTTGGAAGACCAACTAAATAAGCTCTACAGATTTGTATGCTTACCATTTTTTCTTGAATCCCATATCTTCTTCCTCCTTTCTTCCCGTTTTCATTTTCTGGGAGAGCCCCTTTCAGTAATTCTTTCATAAAAGATTTTTGGCTGATAAATTTCCTGAGGCTTTGCATGTCTGAAAAAGTCCTGATTTCACCATCACATTTAAACGCTAACTTAACTTGGCATAAAATTTTTGGTTCAAAATCATTTTCCCTCAGAATATTGAAGACATTACTCCATTGCTTACTAATGTCCAGTGTTGCTGATGAAAAGTCTGCTGCCAATGTTAGTATTGCTCCATCTTCTTTAGAGGCTTTTAGAACTTGCTCTTTATTTTTGAAGTTCTGAGGGATGTTTTCCTCTCTCGTTTCTTTGACCAATACATCCTCTCGATGCTCTTGACCCTCATCCTCTCCTGTAACTTCTGTATGAATGTTGCAATTTCTATTTGTGTCATCTGTATTACCTATGGCTTCTTCCACATTTTCTATAACTTTGTGATTTTGTGAATCATCCAGGGACAATTCCTTACCTTGGTTAGTATTGTAGTCTTCACTTTGGTCTAATTTGCTACTGAGTTTAACTATTTCACTTCTTTTAAAAGTCAAATTTTCAATATCCTCAATATAGTTTTCTCCTTCTATTTTCTCTACCAATCCTGTTTTTATCGATGTGGTATCTTTTATTTGTTGCCACTCTTTTCTGGTACTGGGATTCTTTGGATTTTTCAGTTCAAGCATTGTACTTTTTACTCCTAAAATTTCCTTTAGTTCATTTTTAAGAGATTCCCTTAACTCTAAAACCATTAAGTCCATATTTTCCATCAAGACTTTAAACTTATTCATAATAACTGCTGACATGTCTTTGTATTTTAAATCCAATAACTGAACCATCTCAGTTTCTATCAACTGAATCATTTCCATGTGGAAGCTGGTTTCTAATTTCTTTGCAAGTGTAGGAATTTCTGATTGTACACTGTACATGGTAAATATGTTATCAAGACTGGATTGTCTTCCTTTCCTGAAAAGTAATTTTGTTCTTGCACACCTGCTGGATTTCCCCTAAAATCTTTTTACAAAATTATCTGAAATATAAAAAAAATAAATAATTGTTTACTGAAAAATCCTTTAACATTGAAACCCCATGCAAGTTAAGACCTGAATGTACTAAATCATCCAAACAGTAGCTAAATATAAAACTGACTGGTTCTCCATACCATTAACTTTCTGTTAGTATTAAATAGATTAATTACAAGAAAATATTTTTTTAAAGTGCAGTATACCAAATTTTGAAAATCTAAGGTGATTTGGATGGAATCTTACACAAATGAAGCCCCCTTTTTGACTGAAGAGATTCACATTAACACTTTTTTTCAAAACCAGCTGTCAAGTCAATTCGTATTATTTTCTATGGTGCAAATATTTAGACACTAGGAGCCGGGTGCATGAAATTCGTGTGTGTGTGTGTGTGTGTTGGTTGGTCGCTCAGCCCCGGACTGCAAAAGAGCCCTCAGGGGATGTCCGACTGCCACAGAGGCAGGAGAGACTCCTGCCACTGCTGCTGCGCTCACCAGCAGTGAGCCCAGCTCCTGGCTGAGTGCACTGACCACCAGGGGGGCAGCTTCTGCATTGAGCATCTGCCCCCTGGTGGTCAGTGCATGTCATAGTGACTGGTTGTTCCGCCATTTGGTTGATTTACATATTAGCCTTTTATTATACAGGATATCCTGAAGGAAGTAGAATTAAACCCCATGCCTCCTCCCACTTAACACAGGCCCTATTTTTGCTTGAGGAAACTCTTAGTTTGTTCATTTTTGCGTTTCATCATTCCACTATACTGCAGAAGTGCTGAACCTTTAACAGGTTAAGCACCCAGCCTGTTTTGTCTTCCAGACAAAAAGTATCCTGTCAGTCACCGGTGACTGATATGGCGCTTAATGTGTTAAAGAGAGAGACCACCCCCATTCCTTGATGAGAAGTGGGAAAGCACACTGCACACTTTGGACAATACCTGGGATACCAGTTCCCAAACCTCCCTCTGCAAAGCCTCAAAGATAATCAAGTTTTATCAATTGAGTTTACTGCTGAAGTACTAACAATTATGCCACTTGCTGATTCCTCATAGTTGTCAAGACCCAAAATGCTTGAACTTGCATATTTAAAAAGAAAAACTGCACCTCTTTATGAGGATTCAGTGACTTATAGGAAGGAAACTAGAGTAAATAACAGAAACTGTAGTTGTTATTAAAAGGCACATAATGTTTACAGAAAAACTTCCCAGACTTGAGTCATCTGACATATTCTTTAAAAAGCCAGTTATATAAAAACTAGAGGCCCAGTGCACAGATTCGTGCCCTGATGGGGGGGTGGGGGAAGGAGCGCATTGCCTGTGAGGATTGGCTCACTGTGGGAGTGCCACGCATCCCGGTCAGCCAAATGGCTGTGGACCTGCCCTCTGAGCGGCTGCTCCCGCTGTGGGTCAGCCGAGCAGTGCTCTCACTGTGGGAGTGCACTGACCACCAGGGGGAAGCTCCTGAGTTGAGTGTCTGTCCCCTGGTGGTCAGTGCACGTCATAGCAACTGGTCAACCAGTCATTCTGGTTGTTCTGCCATTTGGTCAATGAGCTTCTATATATATAGATGTGACTGAGGAAGGAACCAAGATGGCGGCATAGCTAAATGCTGGTACTCGCCGGTTCCCACAACCACATCAAAATTATAACTAAAATACAGAACAACCATCATTCAGAACTACCTGAAAGCTGGTTGAATGGAAGCCCTACAACTAGAGAAGTAACGAAGAAAGCTGAAACTGGTAGGAGGGGCGGAGGTGCAGAATGGGCTGGTACAATACCCACATGTGCCATTTTTTTAACTGGGAGACTGTCTCTGTGGAGGCCATCGGTGAGGAGCAAGGGGTCCCAGCCCCACACCAATCCCCCAGCCCAGTGTTCCAGAACTGGACAAGAGCAGTCCCTGCAACTACAGGCTATAAAAACCAGTGGGGATTGTGGCTGCATGACATGGAGGTGGCTAGAGATAAAGGTATTCCATTAAAAGGGCTGGCACACAAATTTACTTGTACTCCCAACACCAGGTGGCTTTGGGGGACCCCAACGCATACAGGGAGGTAATGGATTGGCTGGTATCGGAGCAGGAACTCAGGGCAGCTTTCTCCCAGACAGGGGTCATTGTTCCTATGCTGGGACCTCGTGTCATAGAGCTGATTGGCAGCCACATCTGACCTGGATGGAGCATTAGCCTGAAGCACACTGTTTCCTCCATCCTGGGGATACCCTGAGAACCTGCCCCACCCAAACTGTTTACAGCAGCTTTTCCATATAAATGGCCTGTCCTGACTCAGGCTCCAGATTTTGCTAAAATCTCTCAAACAAGCTGCAGCTGGTGACAGCATGCCACCAGTGGGGTCTATCAATAAAAGGCCCAAAACCTGGCACTAGCACCTGCCTGCCTTGCTTCACAACTGGGACTCACCTGGGCACCTCTAAACCCAATACAAAAAGCATCACTCTGCAGATCCCTCTGTAGCTCCTGCAGGGTGGCCCCAGGCAGTGGCCAACTTTGCACCTCCCTGTAGGAACTACAGCCAGTACACCCAATGAACAGCTTCAGGCCATAGCAGATTACAACTCTACCCATCCACAAGCGACACACTCAAGGGGCAGACTCAGCACCATAGCTCCACTGAAGCAAGTCCTGCTCCATAGGGTGTCTCCGCAGCTCTCCCACTGTAGTTGCAGCTGGTCCTTATAGCCAATTGGCCTGGAGGTCAATTCCTCAGTGAGGCCTACAGCAATTAAGTCTCACCTACAACAAGACTGTGCACACAGCCCACAAAGAGGCATACCCAGAGTGCCCATCTCAGGGCAACAAATACATATCTATGAACAATTGAATCTAAAAATCAAAATAAATGAATAAGAAATCTAATGATCAAAATTAACTGGGGAGGCTGAGCCACTGGGCCATACAGGACATCTACTACACAAAAGCCACTCTACTAAGTCCAGGAGACATAGCAACTCTACCTAATATATAGAAACAAACAGGTAAGCAGCCACAAAGAAACATATCACAAGTGAAAGAAATGGAAGCAAGCAAACTATTGAATATAGAGTTCAAAACCATGGTTATACTCAAGGATCTTCATGAGACTTTCAAGGATCTTAGTGAGAATGTCAAAGACAAAAAAGGGCCAGTCAGAAATTAAGCATACACTAACTGAAATAAAGAACAATTTACAGGGATTCAATAGTAAAGGATTCTGAGAATCAAGTCAACGATTTGGAATACAAGGAAGCAAAAAACACCCAATCAAAAGAGCAAAAAGTAGTAAGAATCCAAAAATATGAAAATAGTGTAAGGAGTCTCTGGGACAACTTAAAGTGTACCAACATTTGTATTATGGGGTGCCAGAAAAAGATGAGAGAGCAAGATATTAAAAACCTATTTGAAGAAATAATGACAGAAAACTTCCCCTACCTGGTGAAAGAAAGACAAATCCAGGAAGCCCAGAAAGTCCCAAACAAGAGGAACCCAAGGAGGCCCACACCAAGACACACTGTAATTAAAATGCAAGGGTTAAAGACAAAGAGAGAATCTTAAAAATCTTAAAAGCAGCAAGTGAAAAGCAGTTAATTGCCTATAAGGGAGAACCATATGACTGTCAGCTGATTTCTCAATAGAAGAGAGTGTCAAGAAATAGTCAAAGTGATGAATAGTAAGGACCTACAACCAAGATTGCTCTACCCAGCATAATTCTCATTTAGTATTGAGGGGCAGATAAAGAGCTTCACAAACAAGAAAAAGCTAAAGGGAGTTCATCACCACCAAACCAGTAGTACATGAAATGTTGAAGGGTATTCTTTAGAAGAGGAAGAAGATATAAAAAATATGAACAATAAAATGGCAACAAATACATATCTATGAACAATTGAATCTAAAAATGAAAATAAACGAACAAGAAATCTAGTGATCAAAATTAACTGGTGAATAACATAGAATCAGAGGCCTGGAAACATAGAATAGACTGATGAATCTCAGAGAGAAGGCAGGGGCAGGAAGAGACTAATCAAAGATCTTACCTATGAACACAGACAGGGTGGTGAAGATCTGGGGAGGTGCAGGAACTGGGTGGAGGGGGACAATGGGAGGGGACATGTGTAATGCTCTCAACAATAGAATAAAAAAAGAAAGAAATGAGGTATCAAGCCTTAAAATATGGAGGACCCTAAAATGCATACTAAATGAAAGAAGCCAATCAGAAAAGACTTTTTTAGCAGTTAACTACAAAAGGGACACAAGTATTTAAAATTCTGAAGTAATGCATAAATCTGCCCTGGATGGTGTGCTGAGTGGTAAGAGCATTGCCCTGTGCACCAAAGGGTCACAGGTTCAATTCCACATCAAGAGCACATACCTGGGCTGCAAGTTCCATCCCTGGCCTAGTTGGGGTGCGTGTGGGAGGCAACTGATTGATGTGTGTCTCACAATTCCCCCATCTCTCTCCCCCTCCCCCCTCCCATTTCCATCAATGGAAAAAATATCCCCAGGCAAGGGATAATCCTATATAACAAAAGCCTAATATGCTAAGTGTCTGGTCATCCATTCAACCAATCAAAGTATAATATGCTAATGATATGCTAAGGCCGCTCAACAGCTCGCCATGTTGTGCACTGACGGCTAGGGGGCAGACGCTTCAATGGGTAGGTGAGCTTGCTGCTGGGGTCCGACCAGTCAGGACTGAGTGAGACACACCCTGGAGCCCCCCCGCAGTCCCTCCCCAGCTCCGATCGTGCACCAATGGGGTCCATCAGCCTGGCCTGCACCCTCTCACAATTCAGGACCCCTCGGGGGATGTTGGAGAACCGGTTTCGGCCCTATCCTGCAGGCCTGAAAGTTTCAAACCAAGGGACCCTACTGGTGCAAGAATTCATGCACTGGGCCTCTAGTAATAATAAAACT